TATGGATTTCTTTTGAAGAAAAGATTTTTAAAAAATAAGTTATAATACATGAAATGTCTACTTTAATTTTAACTACCTTAAAATGTGATAAATCAAATTGAACTTTATAATTATGCGTGGGCTTATTTGTTTTTACTTTTTTTCCTTATGTTTTTATATATTGTTATTTTATTTTCCATGTTTTATTCTGTATTTATGTATTAAAAATAATATTTACTGATTCTAATTAAAATTAATTCTTTCAAATATTAAAATTTGACAGTCCATTCTATTATTTTACTGATACAGTTACTTTTCAACCAATTTTGTGAATAGTGCCCTTCAATTTCTAATGCTCTCTTACACCATTTTATTAAATTATGTTAAACATTATATATACATTAAGCAGATTTTGTACCATTTTTCTCTAAGCAAGTTTTAAAATACTTCCTGATTATTCTTATGGTTATTCCAAAATCGCTTGCTAGGTAATAATAACTCATTATGCAATGTGTCAAAATAAACAATTATTTTTCTCACATTACATTGCTTTAGAGATAAGCTAGCTGATTAGCTAACATTGATTTAAATATTACATTATTAATTATAATGAATTGAAATGTTTTTCAATTTCAGTTAGTAATTATGAATGTAGATTAGTAATACTTATTATATTATACTATGTAAATGATTAATCACTAACTTATGATACAATTTAAAGCAAAATTAATTGAAGAATAATTAAATGACTGTTAAATAAGTAGTGTAAGATAGTAAAAAAGTTTTTCCTTTTGCTTCCAAGATAGTGATAATATTGTCTTAATGTTATATTATAATTATGATAATAGTCTCTAAATGATAAGAAACATTTATTGAACTACTGATGCTAATGTTATACATAAAAGAAAAGATCCTATGACATCAGTTCCCTTTTAGTGTAAAGTTGTTTATATTTTTATAATATAATTAAGTTTTCACATAATTTTATAGAATTTCTTCAAATCTTATATAATCTTATAAATATTGTTATACACAGATGCGAAGAACTAAACTTAAAGTAGTATATTAGTACAATTACTTGAATGCACAAAATAAATAACTTTGAAAATAGTATTTTTGATAATTCATTTATCTAACGATTTCCTGAATGTGCTGATTAATATGAATTGTATAAAAAAATAATAAATAGGTCACTCATATGAAGCAAATTTTTAAATGATTGTAAATATGTATATGTAGTTTTTTTTCACCAATTTATTTATTTATTTTTAAGCATAAATAAGTGTTTTCAATAAATGAGAAATTTAATTTAGGATTTTTCTTGTTTTTATTTTCACTATCTGAAATGTCGGAAAGATTTTTAGGTTTTTATTTTTTTTCAACTTTTGAATTAACATTTTATTACCAATTTAAGTTCTACAATTTTCCTCACACTTTTAGTCTTAACTTGAAATACCCACTTTGCACTTTTCTGACTGTCTGACGAGATCTGAAAATACCTTGAATTGATTTTTACTTAAGTATAAATGTATTGAATGAAATAAGTGAATTTTTATGAAAGCAGTTTGGATTTTATAATTTGAAGAAAATTGTAGATCAGTAAATTGTTTGGTTTTCTCTAGTTTACTGAGAAACTAAAAAAAAATGTTTGAATCCTTACATAATTAAATTTGTATTTAAACTGTTATGATTTCGCTAAAGTACATAAATAATTTATTGTTTGTCTTTTTAATATTTATTTTTGTTGATACAGTGGAATGTACCTTACTTTAAATATGATTTAAAAAATATTAATTGATTTATTTATTTTGTTCAGAACTTAAAATAAAAAGCTGAAGCCTCATGTAAGTCATTAAAAGATGTACATTTTATGATAATTTAGTTGTAATTAAAGGAATTTAACTTTAAAATGACACAAATATAATAAAACTACATTATTTAGTCACATCTAGGCATTATTTACAAATCTGTATACTTATCTGTTAGTTTTCTTTTTTTAAAAAGGTTATAAATAAAACTTTGAAACACATTCAAAATACTATTTTCAAAGTTTTGTATCTATCTTTCTTTTAGCTCTATTTCTTTAGCTATCTGGGGATCCCCTTGGAAAAGTATTGGTGACATCTTCATTGTGACCCTACTACAGTAGTATCTATCTTTAAAAATTTAATTTATTGACATTGTATTTATTTGTTAATTCCTAATTAAAAAGGTCTGATTGCATAATTTTACTTCTAAAATTTTATGATTTTATTGAATTATTTTTTTTTTCTGGGTCCAGATATACTGATAGAATCAAAGTAATATCTTCTGTATGTGATATAGAGTTAGGTTTTTTCAGCTTTATGAAATGTTAATGCTTTAAAATTAATTATTTAATCAGGATTATGAACCTGATTTGACTGGTCAAGGAAATATTTTTTGTACTATTTAATGTGATCAAATATTATTTTCTGCATTACAAACATTATTTTCTACCTGATAACCATATTTGTCATTTATTCATAGTTATGTTTATGTATTTTCAACATTTATAATTATTTTTTTTAATTTACTTGATTATGTAATTGGTTCCATTTGTATTTCCTGTAGATGCAATTATTTGTTTTTAACAATTTTAACTAATGTGATGGTGTGTTGTGATTAACTTATTAATATAGAGGTAGAATAAATTGTGAGCTTTAAATACTGCTACAAATATACTTAAGTTAATTTTAAAGTTAAGTCAAAATGCAATGTCTTGTATAGTAGTATCGTGTATAAAGAAAAAAAAATTATCTTTCTTGTAGTATTAAAAGAAATAAGTAGTATTTGGTTAGATAATCTTCATGTTTCTGTCGTCCTTCTTTATTTAATTACTTGAAGTAATAGGAATGATTAATGTTATTCTGTTTTATTTATTTCACTAACAGATTGCTTTTTTTTATTTCAGTTTGATGCATTAGTTATGTTTTGTTTATGGATTTTTAGCTGTAAATTATTTTGAAATATTCACATATAGTATTTGAATGATAGTGTTTAAGTCAAAAGAAGTTATTTAGTATTCTTGTTACTGGTAGGTGTATATCAAGTTTTTTAATTACAACTAAATATTATTTATGTGTACATTTTTAAAATTGATAACTTGAAAGAATTTTCCTGTAAAACTTTAGGTTATAAATACATATTTTCATATAGTAATTTACAAAATAGTCTCTTGAATGTTTATATATATTTTTTCAAATATTTTTAATAGAGAAGGTAATAAATACTAAATTATAATTGAATTAATACTCATACACTTTAGCACCATTTATCTTTTCTGTAAATCCAGTATTATGAATTGCCCATTTTATGAAAATATACCTAATTACAATATTAAGCATAAATCATACCCTAATATCAATTTTGTGTATGAGATAATTATTTATTTATTTTTTTAATGAATTTAAATATTAATTTAGTTCATAATAAAATTATCATTTGTTGTATATCTTCAAACTTGTTACTTATTACTTTAATATTTTACATATTTTGTTTGAATAATTTATAACAATTACTGAGTATAATCTTAAAGCAAGGTTTGTACTTTATTCTACTACAAATTTGTACTTAAAAGTTTTGTATGTTTGAGGTTGTTTTAATTATATGAGGGGTTGTAATTATAGTTTTACTTATTGAATATTAACTTTATTGATTATTTTTTAAAAATATATATAATTACAATAATAATACTTTTGTTAAGAATTTTTACCCTTGTAATTTTTGTTTAGGGAAAATTGATATTGTAGATGATTTTTTAAAAATATGATGTTCAAATGGAAGTATCTTATAACATTTTTAGTTAAAACTTTTTTTGATCTACAAAAATTAGCATTGTAAAATTATTTAACTTACTAAATATTTCTTTTACTTTTTTATTAGTATAAACTCACTTTTATAAAGTTTATAAAGTATAAAATCAGTTCCAAAAATTTCAATGAAGGGAATGGTGTCGTTTAAAGTTTCCAGACATTTGTGAAATTAAGTATTTGTTAGTAATGCACATTAATTTGTTCTTTTTGTCTTAATTTTATTCATCTTCATTTCCATTTTTTCTATTCTATTAGGTCTTTATCTAAGATAGTCTTAATATAATTAAAAATCATTTTGAATAGTTTCCTTAAGTCTTTTTTTTGCTTCATTTACCTCCAGTACTAAAACATCCTCCCTATATATGGAAGGATCTAATTAAAATTTATTACTAATAAGAATCAAGTTTTAAACAACTATATTAAAACATATATTGATTGGTACTTGTGTTTAGCAGTTGTTTATGTGTTTTCAAAACTCACTCTTTTTCTTTTTTTATTATTAGAGACCCGTTTTCCATATTGCATATTCCATTTTCATGCGTGCAAAACCTCCAAATCCAATTATCCACCTTAATCATGTTAAAATTTGAAATTGCATGTTTTAGCTTTTCAGGCTAAATTGCACAGTCTGAAAATTAAATTAAAAATAATGTTTGAACCAAAGTTCCTTAGTTACATGTGTACTAAGGAATACATACATATATATATATATATATATATATATATATATATATATATATATATAATGGGTGATAAATATTCAGGACGCAGTCATTATAAAGTTTTTATTGGTGCCGATGTTCCAACCCAAACATGTGGCTCATCATCAAGGTGTGTTTCGAGCACTGAAGCTATTTAAGCAATGTGAGGTATTCAGGGATTGAGTATTTGAATATCTTCAGTGCTTGAAACACCCTGATGATGACCCATATGTTTGGGTTGAAACGTCGGCACTAATAAAAACTTTAAAAATACTGCGTCCTGGATATTTATCACTCATGATATGTAGAACAGTCGACTAATTTCCTTCAATAATAAATAAATAAATATATATATATATATATATTTATATTATAATATATATTTATATTTATATATATATATATATATATATATATATATATATATATATATATATATATAAATATAAATTTTATTTTATTATTTGTTCCTATTCCAAATTTATAGTTTAGAACTTGGGTATCCAAACTGAGGCCTGCACATCACTATGTATTATGCTGATTTGCCATGCGACCAGGTGTGTAGGTTTTAAATGTTTTATTCTTAATTTTTAATTAAAAAAAACATTTTGAAGTTCTCTTTCTGGGGTGGAAGGATATTATAGATTAGATATTTGAAATGGGTAATAAATTTACTGTCGAAGTATATGCATTTTATTGTATAAATAATAGTATAATTAGAGATAATGTATTAATTTTATTATATTTTTAATTTAATCTAGGTATATACAGTCAAAGCTCCATATACTCACAGTTCCAAAACATATGTATGCTTTGTAGTTTTAAAATTATATTTACTTATTTGTCAGTTAGGTACACTTTAAAACAAACATATATCAATGTATTTGTAAATAAACACGTCTTATTGCCACTTGTCCAAGTGTTTTTTGACAAAACACTTAATCAAAGTTATATTGTTCTTTATAAAAGACATCTACTCACGGCTAGTCGAGGATGTGTATAATATTTTTTTTGGTTCAACTTGTCGTTCCTGCTAAATGGAGTAAATAGCATGTGTTCCATTGTTTGTTATTTATAATGTTGAGTAAAACCAAAGAAAATTAGTTCCTGTATGTAAAAAAGTTGGTTTCTTCTCACATTATTTTATGGGTCATTCGCTGAAACTAGAGATATTAATGTATTAGCTAAAATTGTCCTCCCATGTTGATTTAAAAAAAAAATTCTAATCCCAAATTGAAATTTATACTATTCCTTGTATGGACATACTTGCCCACAAATCTATTTTTTGTGACAAAAAAAGAAAGTGAATTCTTTAGGTCTCTCATTCTTACTTGTTTCCTTACCTGAGTTCTAGTCTTTGGGTCCATATTTCACTGGAATAGCCTTATTAAACTTCAAGTACATGAATGCCTTTCAATTGTGAGGTTTGTAGTTTCATAATTTGGCATTTTAAAGATACAATCTTGGGATCCTGAACGATACTGGTTTTAGTTACCTTGTCTCCAAATATTAACATCTTTTCCTCACTTTTAATTAAAAATCAAGCTTAAGCAAAAGGAATTATCGTTTTCAGATTTCAAAGGTTGTTAATGCTCAGAAATGTACAGTTAATAATAATGTTTTCTTCTAAGTATGTTTAACATTTTCATTTTGGACAGTGAACAATCTGTCCACAAAAAGTTGTATAAAATTTGGTGAATTAATCTCAAATTTTTAATTATATCGGGAAATAATAGCTTGTTTAAGATTAGGCCGATTCAATAAACAGATAACCTTGAAATGATATTTACAGATATTGAGGGAAAGAGAAAGTGAATGGGGGGGGAGGTGGATTTTAAGTTTATTTAGTCAAGAATACATAATTATATAGACTGTGGGAGGAGGATACTATTTATTTAACTACTTATTCTTTTTAAATGACTTATATATCCTTATTTGCAAAGTAGAAGTAATAATTGTATTCTCTACCTTTTCCCTTTGTTAAGTAAAGTGCAGATGTTGTAATTAAAAAAAGGTCTGTATTTATTTATCCTCACAAGGTTTTTTCAAAGGTACATTCGATTCAAGTTTTTATTTATGTTGCAATACTTGTTTCATCTAGGATTTAGTACTCAATTTTTTTATTATTTATTATGAGATGTATGTGGAATTAGAAATTCATGCAAAATGCGAGAATAGACTATAAATATTATTGTGTTTTCAATGTTAGCAAGAAAGCATGCATTGCCATTAGGTATTTATACAAAAAAAAACAAGATCTTAGGATTCAAGTAGAAAGCAAATGGGTGTTCATGAGTTTATAGTACCTAATTAAATAGACAAATTTGGCTGATCTCCAGATTGAAAACGCCCAAATATCGAGAATTTTTGTAAATAAAAAAGTTTAAGGTTATAATGAGATGAAGTTAATCACAATATTTGGTTTTAGTTTTATTTTCTATAATATTGAAACATGCAGAAGTATTAAAATACTATTCATTCTTCAATTGAAATATCATGCTATGCTCCCAAAAACCTCATAGAATATTTACATTATCAAATGCAGGTTTTTGATAACTTAGAAAGGTGTGATTTTGGTGACAGTATTTAATAACACAAGTTCATATTGATTTCTATAATGTAACTCTTCAAAATAATTCATTTCTGATTCTCTTTCATATGCATTGCAAATTCAAACATTACCTATTTAGTGTAAGGTTTTCTAATAGTTTGGATGTCATAAACCTTCCTAATGATTTTAATAGTTGTGGTAATAGATTGACAGTGACATGCTTAATATATGGCCTTTTTAAGACAATATAAATGGTTAACTAAAATTGAAATTGTCATTTATGAATATAACTTTTGTACAGAGATTTACTTCTTCAATTATTATTTCACAGTTCACTTATATTTTAAAATTAAACCTGTTCTTCAATTTTTATTTAATTTATATTAGATCATGATTATATTATTCTTATATTTTTAATCATTATATCATCCATTTTTTTTATTTGTATAATTAATTTTTGATACCTTGTTTAACTTTTGATAACTTAAAATAACTCCAAAGTTTATTAATTGAAATAGAGAAATTTAGAAAAATCAAAAACAAAAATTCAGGTTTATTTGTGAAATGTATTCTAGGTTGAATGTTAGTTGTATTATTATTGCCAACCTTAAGTGTAATAACTTCCGTTAAAAGCATTAATGAAACATCTATTAAATTAGAGGTATCTGATTTCCGTTGTGTTATTCATTTCCTATTGTAAATTTAATGGAGTTATTTTATTATTTAGTCATGCTTATTTAAGGTAGTATAAGAAGGAATTTTTAGTGACTGACAGTCCTGTAATGTTAATATTTGCTCAAGGTTTTGTAATTATTGAAAGTTTTGTTTTTCATTATTTTTAGAACTATTACGTCAAATTGCACTAAAATTATTTATATTACACCACATTTGTTTGTCAAACATTAATTATTGTATTATTTTCATCAAAATTATCATTGATCGATAATGTTTGTCATTAGTGCTAAAACACTTTGTATATCAGTAACACCTTTAACATTTCAGTATTTCCTAAATATCTATCTCAAAGAAGCAACTTCTACATGATACATTCCATAAATAATTTCAAAATGAGTTTAGATAATTATAAAATGTTACTAAACATTATTTTATTTTTTTTAATAGCTGAGAATTTACAGCCACAGTGGATGTTGGAAAGCTTTTTAGTTTGGTGATTAACTGAAGTACAATTTTGGATCCTTAAAAGTAAATCATGCCTTTTATTGGATTTATTGAGAGAATGTTACCATGGAATATTATTAATATGAACCAGTTTAAGTGGTTAACTAGAAGCCTTTTTTGACTCTTTGATAGTTTCCTTGTGCTATACTAAATGATTTCTGATAATAGATTTTGTTTTGATTAAAATTGGGTATGTTAATTGAACAATTAATTGATATAAATGAATTGCCATTTGGAGTAAGTAGACCTGATTAACATATTCTGTCTTTTGAATCTTTTAAGTAAATTTTATTGAGGTAGATGTTTTGTTATTAAAATACTTTAATTTAATATTCACAGGAAATTTAATTACTGTTGGTATAATACTAGATATTAGCATATAGTAATTAATTTAAAGTGGATTTTTCATCTTTCATGCTTCATGTTTTGTCTATATTATTCCCCCTAAAGGAGGTTGATCATGCAGTTTCTAATGTGAATATTTTAGATTTTTAAACTTTACAATTTTTTTTTTTTTATTTGAAAATTAAAACATCCTGCTGCATCAAAATTTTTAAGTTTAAAATATTTCACAATGTAGGTAAAATTATTAATAGATTTTACCTTCTAAATGCATATGACTATTTATTTTTTTAACACTACCTATTAATTATATTTTAATGAAGTCCATTTTATCTTTTGGTGGATCTGTAACTAGGTGGGTAAAAGAGGTATATGCCAACACCAGCTGAATTTAAAGGGTGGCAAATTTCAAGCAAAATTAAATTTTTAGGTTAAGGAAGTAAGATTTATTTAGGATAATAACATGTCTCTGGTTTTTGAATGTCAGGAGTTTAATTAAGTCAATAAAATGAGAGAATGTTATGATATGATATTTATTTCGAAATATAATCTATAAAATGCTGTTTTGAAACAACTTTTATTGTGGGAGGGGAGTGCAAAATGGGGCAGCAAAATTAAGCTCGCCCAATAAAATTTCTAGTTCCGGCCCTGTAATTATTGTTGGTTGGTGTGATAGCACTAGCTTAAACAGAAAACATATCTAATGTCCACATTTGTTATTTTATGGATCAGTTGGTTTAGATTTTTAGTGCTCGTAAGAATGTGAATTTATTAAGATTGAATCTTTTATGGATTCCTTACATCAGATGTATGTACATAAAATTAATTGCTCACTAATAGTCTGATAAAACTGAAAATATTGTCTTCCTATTCTTCTTTATGATTCATCCATTAATGGATAGATTGTATTATAATATAAGTTAAGATATTAACTACTTCTTTGGATCTAACATCATTGGTTATTATTAATTATTTCAATATATAATTGATTTATGTTGAAAATATATGGATTTTTTAAAATAATAATAATTTTTTTTTTAATGTCTTTCTTATCAAATTATCTCTAGGGTTCCAAATAACTGTGAACTTTTATTTTGAAAATGTTTTTGTTTTATTATCTTCAGAAGTTTTTTGAAAAAATTCATTCAATAACTTTTAGTTAGACTTTTTCTATAAAGTTCTTTTGAGGACTTTTGCAGTAAAGGTATTAGAGAACTTTATGGAAAAAATGTTTAATGAAAGCTCTTTCAGAAATGTTTTAGTATGGACTTTTTTATACATGTTTCGCAAGCTTTCAATAGAACTTTTTAGCAAAAACATTCATAATTGAAATTCTCACATGAATAAAGTTCCTACATAATTTGTCTATGTGCACACCTAATCAGGATTTTATATTTTCTTAAAAATATTACTCTATCCCATGTTCTTTTTCCCCTAAAGATTCATTTTAAGTTCTACTCTATACTCCAAGGTATGTGAAAACTTATATTTTAAATGATCTTCTAGTGTCAGAACTTTTACATAATAGTTTTAGTTAAAATTTTATTTACAGAACTTTTGTGTTAAAACATTAAAGGTAAGAGTTCTTATAAATCAGTTAAACTGAAACTTCTTGAAACACCCCATATTTTGTATTCTGATCACTTCATTATGTGTAATTTTTCTCAGACTATTCTTTAGCAAAATTGCATATTTATTGATAAATTGAGATTTTAGTAGGTTTTAACCAATGCTCAATGTTATTTTAACTTAGACAATTATTTTTATTTGTTATCTATGTATTTTGACATTTCTTATATGTAATAAAATTAATCTCTATTGACCCTCTATCTTTCATGGAAATATTTGTTCTGTTTTAAGTAATATTATTCTTTTAAACTATTATTTTGTTCATAGTTGTTATAGACAATGTATGTTATAAAGGAAGTTAGTAATAAGATCAATATTAATTATGCAAATAATACTAGTAATTATTTTACTTATATTTTTATTCCTCTAGGATGTCACATTTTTACTTACTTGTTTTTATTTTTTAAGGGAAGTCATTGAAAAGACATAATAAAGAAAGACGTTTGTTTTAATTTAAAAATGATTATTTTAGACATAGATTTAAAGGCCTAATTGTAAACAAATAAGAATAATATTGATATAATATTCTAATTTCTTGTATGTATTTAATTATGAATAGGTTCAATATGAAAGACAAAAAAAAAGTTTCTTTTTAGTTTTAGAATTTTTACAAAATATTTTATTATTGATAGATGTATAAATATTTAATTTGAAATCAATATTTTTTATTGTATGTATCAATGTGAATGTAATGTTTTGTGGTATTGATGTAATTAAGTGTGAAATATATGGATATTATAAACTAATTGTGAGTTTCAAGATGAAATGCGAACTTATTAGAGCAACCCTACTGAGTAGTTAAAGCAATCGATTCTAATTACTAATATAATAGTCCAGTCTTAGAGTAGTTACACCTGGAGAAAAAAAAAATCAAATAATTGGTTTTTGTTCTCCAGTTAGTGATCGATGTGGAATAGGAGCCCCCTGATAGCCCCCATCAGGGGTACCCAAAAGGGGGTTTTATGGCGCAAGTTGCGCCATCAAAATTAATGAAGGGGGCACATTTCGACGGGGTTATGAATTTTCATAATGAAAAATTTTAACTAAAAAAAAAGTGGAATCATGGAACCAACCACAGGATGTATAATGGTTTATAATCTACAAATGTTCAAATTATACTCTCGTTTGCACTGTTTTTAAGAAGAAGAGAGGGATAAAATATCATGGGAGGAGTGGGAGAAAAGTTTATACGCCATCGGCTTTGGGGGGGGGGGGGTGGGGGCGATGGGCACCCGTGGCCCCCATCCAAAATATCACCTTCTCTCTGATTGTTTGGATGTTAAATGCACAAAAATTATTACAAGGTAGTAAACTGGGAGGACTTGTAATATATGTTAGGAGCAGATATAAGTAAATTCTTCAAGTGATTTGATGGACGACATCTCATCCACAGATATTGAAAATAATGGTCGGCTTCGGATCGTTTTTTTAATTTATTCGAGAAATTTGATGATAATGACTTATCTGCGAAAATCAGACGAAAAAGCCCCTCCCCCCTTTTTATTATTTTTTTTAATTTTTATTAATTTTTTTTTTTGCGGATTACTTGAATTTCATAAATTTTAAACTTGCTCTAGGCTTTCACCTCTGGTCGTCCTACATTTAAAAACCACAGATGCATTAAACCACTTAAATTTTTAATGGTGTATTCTCAATGAAAAACTGCATGGTTTCGGAGCTGTGGGTGTTGAACGTATACCTATATGCACTATTTACAATCAGACGAGAGAACTCCGAGCCACACTTGTCCCTCCAACTGTGGAGAGAAAAGCATGACTCCAGGAAATCCTTGCACTACTCTCTCAACCACTAGCGGATCCAGGATTTCATTTGGGGAGGCTTCAGCCCGAGATTTTTTTTTTTAATTAATGGTGATAATTACTTTGGAAGAAAAAGAATGAAACTAACTACTTATACGAGATGGTATTTAAGTGATTTTTGAAGTCCTATTAAATGTAATTACGCGAACAATAATACTTTTAGTGATGATTTTTTTCATAAAACATGGTAATGTTTTACCATTTTAGGGAGGGGAGAGGGCTTCAGCACGAAATCTCCTCCCTAGAACTCTATATATAGTTTATATTTAGTATCTGATCCACTCTTCTTCGACTCACATCTTGTGTTTTTAACTAATGATCTGTTTATTTGTTCAATGGTGTACAGATCCTTTTGTTAATAATTTTAAGAAAAAAAAGTAGACCAATTCCTTACAGAAAAGTAGATATTTTAAATTAATTTTTTTTTAAAGTATGTCACGTTTTTTGTTGATAATTAAAAAAAATTAAATTAAGTAGTTCTTAATTAATTAGAGCATTTGCACTTTGTTTTTTCTTTTTCTCCCTGCCTCGCCTTACAGGCAATACGGGTTATGGCAACAGTGGGGCATTACGCAAGTTATACACGGTGGGCCAGACCCCCTTACCGTGCACCCCCCCCCCCCACATCCCTATAAATTGCATATCGTTGTGTTCCTTGTGACAATTTATTAAAAAAAAGCCAATGTTCCCACAAAAAAAAGTGAACGAACTGCCCCAAAATGGCGTCCAAACATGGCGGATTGACGACTTTGACTTTAGTTAGTTTTTTTGTTACTGAGAATCAGCATTTGGCTTAATTTCATCATAGTTGGTCTTTTATTAAAGCTGGATAGTCAGAGAATAATAAAACATGAAAAAATATTAAAAACTAATTGGTTTAGGTATTAAAAAAAATCAGTAAAGTCAATTTTTTTACAAAAAAATTTTCAAGTTGAAAATCAGGCGTCGTTTGTAATTAAACGGTCAACAATAATGCAAAATGTGCTGAAATAAAACATCTGGAGAATACATTTCTCTTTCTAAAACACTGATTATTTTTAAAATATTTGAAGTAGTTCCGTAGAAAATGTACTTAAGCGGCAGAAAAGCGCTACTGGCGTAGGTGCCTTCAGGCCTCTACCACACCACTCAGTACTCATAAATGGCTTAGTTATAGTGCTATAATAACGTTTTTGTTATATTATATTGATTGTATTAACGAACAAATATTAATACAATAATTTAATTGTCAAAAATTTTTTTTTTAAATTATTATTTTTTTATTATTTATTTTTTTTAAATTTAACTTCCTTTATTCTATACGGAGGTCGCTTAAGAAGGCCTCTATTATAAAAATTATATAATTATAATAATAAAACTTAATTCAAAAATACTTTGCAGAAAATCTTGAATTTTTTATTTAATATTTGCAATTTAACATTTTGTTTTATATATTTACTGATTCTTAGAGGTAATTTAAATTATATATACTTCCCCGGAAATGAATCATATTAATATCTGTTTTATAAACTAAAATAATATATACCTAATCTGAACTACTTTTAATGAATAGGTGATGGATTGTTTAGTAAAATTAATATATCGCTATTAAAAAAATCATTTTGATTTCCTTTATTTTTTTCGGAAGTTGGACCATTTCACAAAAAATACGAAATTTTAATATTAAATGCATTATTTTCTCTGCACAAAAGAGATATGAAAATGGCGAAGCTATAAGTTCTTACAGGTAACTGGAACTGATTGTTAGTATTTGGTCTCAAAATGAGGGAAAACGCGAAATTTAACCCAAACATTGGAAAAATACATTAAGCGAACTCAAAGGAAGTGCCAAAATTTCGGAACAGAAAACAAGGATAAGTATCTATTATATGGCTAAACGAATATATAGTAGACAGATGAACAGAATATTTCAAGATGCTGCTAAAAGAGGGTCAAAATGCTTGATGAGTTTGGATGATATTAAGCAGGTTTATTATGGTGAAGACCACTTTATCAGCAAGAAAGATTTGTTCTAAGCAATTGGCAAGCAGGTCTGGAGGAAGTGACCCGAGATGCTGTGCGTACAAAGGCTACAAATGTATTAGAAAATGATATGAAAGGACTGTAGTCTTGTCCGTTTACAGGAAATTTTGAGACCAAATACTAACAATCAGTTCCAGTTACCTATAAGAACTTATAGCTTCGCCATTTCCATATTTCTTTTGTGCAGAGAAAATAATGCATTTAAAATTAAAATTTCGTATTTTTTGTGAAATGGTCCAACTTCCGAAAAAAATAAAGGAAATCAAAATGATTTTTTTACTAGCGATATATTAATTTTACTAAACAATCCATCACCTATTCATTAAAAGTAGTTCCGATTAGGTATATATTATTTTAGTTTATAAAACAGATATTAATATGACTCATTTCCGGGGAAGTATATACAATTTAAATTACCTCCAAGAATCAGTAAATATATAAAACAAAATGTTAAATAGCAAATATTAAATAAAAAATTCAAGATTTTCTGCAAAGTATTTTTGAATTAAGTTTTGTTATTATAATTATATAATTTTTATAATAGAGGCCTTCTTAAGAGACCTCTGTATAGAATAAAGGAAGTTAAATTTAAAAAAAAAATTAATGTACATGTAAAAGCGAAATAAATGTGCCGAACTAATAAAAAAATAAAGCCTTATTTTATATAAAATCTTTTATGTTGTTTAACATTTATTATTTTATAATTGTAATTGTGGGAACTGTGGTATAGACTTGTGAACTGGCTGTGCACAAGCGCATACCTTTCCTTTTCTCCGTTCTTCACCTGAACCGCAAGTTGTGCTATAAACATTTTTTAGGGGGACAGATTTTTTTTGCAGATTTTGAATTTTTTGAGGGGAGCACTTTTCGGTGGGGTTATAAATTTTCGGAACGAAAAGTTTCATACCAAGGGACAAGGAGAAAACATGGAACAGATCGCAACAAGTATAATTGTACATAATCTACGATTTTACTAATTCTATCTTCGCTTGCTCTGTTTTTAAGAAAAGGAGAGCAATAAAATATCTTGGGAGTGGGGGGAGATCGGTTTTTGTACCATAGACCTTGTGGGGGATGGGCACCGCTGACCATATGTAATAGAGTTGCCCATGCAACGAGTGATGCGTAATGTAAACCTCTTAAATGTGTAAAGACGAAAAAATTATTTACGAAATATGTGTTAAATATGGCCGCTAGCACTCGAGGGTCCTATAAGCTGGATGTTGTTCATAGGTGGTCTATTTCTATATTATATATTTCTAGTGGTATATTTCTAGAATCTCCTAAACCCAGAAATGCCTGAATACCTCGTTTCAAGCCCACCTAGGTAGATCGGATCGACACATATAAATATAGATATTATAGAACCTCCAGAGAAGGAATAGGTTGCAGAAGTTCTTGCATCCCATAAAAATTATCAGGCCCCCGGAGAGGATGAGATTCCTGCAGAGCTGTGGAAGCATGGTCGAGCAAATATACCATCTAATGTTTAACATCTGGATGCCAGAAGAGGTGCCAAAAGACTGCTCCACTCCATTAATATGCCCAGTTTATAAGAATGGAGACTAGATGGAATATGAAAACTACAGAGGCATTGCGTTGCTAAACATGATAAAGTTCCATTCTGTTGATGAGCAGGATATTCCAGTATTCTGAGAGAGAGATAAATCATATTTCAAGCATAAGGATCATGCTGGAGAAATGCTATGAAAATAATGTTGATCTACACCACCTCTTCATAGACTGCAAGCAAGCATACGACTGTGTAGACCGAGGCAAGTTATATCCAGGCCAAGACAAAGGTGGGTATACCGGAAACACTGATACGATTTGGGCTTGCGACCTTAGAAGAGACACAAGAAGAGTAAAAATACAAAGTTCAAGGTGCAGTAGCTTCCATATCTACAAAGGATTAAGACAAGCAGACCTCCTATCTCCCATCCTATTCAACATTGTTTTGGAAATAGTGATGAAGGCCATTAGAACAAATTCGGGGGGACCATCTATAATCGACTGACACAGCATCTTGCCTTTGCGGGTGACGTTGTTATTATTGGTTGCACCCGTGCATCCTTAGTGGGTGCTTTCGTGGAATGTGAACAGGCCTCAAAAATGGCAGGACTCAATATTAATGACGCCAAAACTAAATATATGAAGACCTCTCGAGGTGATTGTGTGGCAAGGAGTAGTCTTAGAACTGGAGAATACTTTTTCGAGCAGGTACAGGAGTTTAAATATCTTGGGGCCAACGGAAACGAAAATAATGACATACACGCAGAAATAAAGTCACCCATGATGACCGGAAATAGATGTTGCTGGGCAGCATGAAAAACAGCAGTAAAGTCAATTTTTTTAACAAAAAAATTTTCAAGTTACAAATCAAGCGTCGTTTGTAATTAAACGGCCTACAATAACGCAAAACGTGCTAAAATAAACCATCTGAAGAATATATTTCTCTTTCTAAAACGCTGATTATTTTTTACAAATGTTTAAGCAGTTCCGTAGAAAATGCACTTAGGCGGCAGAAAAGCGGTACTGGCGTGGGTGCCTACAGGCCTCTACCACACCATACAGTGCCCATAAATGGCTTAGTTATAGTGATATAATAACTGCTGTTTTTCATAGCCCAAGCCAATTATTTTTTAATATTTCTTCATGTTTTATTATTCTATAACTATTCAGCTTTAATAAAAGACCAACTATGAGGAAATTAAGCCAAATGCTGATTCTCATTGACCAAAAAACTAACTAAAGTCAAAGTCGTCATTCCGCCATCTTTGGACGCCATTTTGGGGCAGTGCGTTCACTTTTTTTTGTGGGAACATTGGCTTTTTTTTTAATAAATAGTTACAAGGAACACAACGATATGCAATTTATAGGGATGTAGGGGGGGTGCACGGTAAGGGGTTCTGGCCCACAGACTATATCCGCTACTCTCTACCCTCCATTTATTCAGTCCTATCCTCCGAGCTATTTGCCATATATTTAGCTTTAGGTATAATAATCAATGAAATTGACATTGACCATATTTTAATTCTTAGTGATTCCTACTCAGCCCTCAAGCTAATAGAAAACTTTAAATTATGTAACAACCATATCATCTTCCAAGTCACACATATAATTCAACTAACAAAGAAAACTATAAAATTTCTGTGGGTCCCCAGTCATGCAGGAATACCAGGCAATGAACTGGCTGATATAGCCGCAAAATAGAAGCATCTATCATACTTCCAGCACCAGACACTAACATAGCGCTCTACGATTTCAATAACTCAGTTTCGAACCACTGTAGAGAAGCCTGGCGCTATTGTTGGAATAAGATTTCTGATCCCAACAAAATGAAAAGCATTTTCAATGACATGAATCTACTTCCCCAAATGCAAGGAAACCGGCGGGAGCAAACTATTATCACAGGCCTCAGAATAGGGCAGAGCAGGCTCACGCATGGGCACCTACTCGACGGTAGTTCACCACCGAGATGTCACACCTGCAAAATAGCTTTAGCAGCCTTACACATTTTAGAAAATTGTCTGAGCGTTGATCCATCAAGGAAAGCAAGAGAGGCAGGTGATCACTGCCTGCAAGATCAGAATGGAATCATATTATTTTTTAACAATTTTCCACATTCACATACTTTTGTGATTTTTCGTATTTTTTACTCCATTTCCAACAAAATTTACCATTTTTACCAATTATTTTCGTCAAATTTATCAAATATTCATGCTTTAAATTATAGTTTTAATTATTTGTATCCCACTTTTTGTGATTTTCGAAAGAAGATCGAAGGGGGGAGCCTTGGTTCTGATTTGGTGAAAAAAAATATATATTTTTTTATTCGTATGAATTCTATGAAAATTCGTATTGGAGGCTTTATAGAGGTCCGAAATACAAATCTCAACTCTGTTATCCCTTGAAAAGATATTTGAACCCACTTTTCTCCTTCGATCTGTACAAATTATTTCATCGTCGTACTGATAATATAGCCAAATATGCCAAATATATAGTTATTTTCAAATAAAATGGGCTATAATAGAACTCTCCCAATGAATATTAATAGAAAATATGAAAAAATAAATAATAAAATGAAAAACAAAAAATATTGGAAAAATTTCTAATCGATTTCGATGATTTTTTTTTTTCCTTTTGTAGACAATTAGTAATGTTTTATATAATCATGGGAATATCCAAGGAAAAAGTGTAAACCTCTAACCTATATTGTTGCACACGGTACCTAAAATATAATCAAATAAATAAATAAATTTTTAGTAAACTCTTTATAAATTTGAATCTTTAAATATAAAAAATAAAAAAATTGTGATACCCTCATATCAATAACGTAATAAATATGTATAGCTTTCAATGAACCACACTTGAGTAACGGTTAAGGTTGATATATAATTATTATGCACATTTTGAGTTTTTTAATCAATACACACTTCTTCTAGTAAACTTAATGAAAGTTTTTTTAATATTAATTCTATAATCAACATATGTAATATTCTGCATGTGGAAAGGAAGATGCTGAGTTTGAATTTGTTGCTTGTTGGTAATGATGTGTATTCCAGGTATATGTGGCCTGCTCCTTTTCTAATTCTGTTTCTGAATCGAGAATCATTTGGAGATCTTTAATGTATTGGATAGCACTCCTGTAAAAAAAAATAAAATAAATTGATTAAAAAATATGTGTATATAATAATAATTAGGCCTTTTATTATATCCATAGCTCGATAACAGAAAAAAATTAAATTAATTTACATGTTTACAATTAATAATAAATAAATAAAACCAATAACTACTGCAATCCAACAAATCCTTATGTGAGCTTATATAAATATTAGTGTTGCCCAAAATCGGCCCAAGACAAGGACCAAATAATTGTTGCAAAACCAAGACCTAGACTGGTAAAATAAATCGATTTTTAAAATAAAAATAAAGACAAAATAGTTACTAATACTCGACAATTTTAGTTACTATATGTAAACAATCGGTATAACTAATATACTTTTCTATTTAACTCTTCTAATGTTTCATTCGGGCTTAGTTAGGTTTCCCCTATCTAAAAATATGCAGTAATATCTCTATAGTACTAAGCTAGTAGGTAACTGCAAGACCGCTGCGAGACTCTTGCGCAAGACCAAGACCTAGACCAAAACTAACTGAGTTTGCAATACTTAGACTCGTCTCGGTCTCGCATTTGGGCAACACTAATAAATATATTTAACTTTTTCAAAAATACAAGAAATATAAATGATAAAAATATACTAAATAATGTAATTCATTTCGGGACCCGGGATGTTGTACGGTCACTAATTTCCAAAAGAACAGCAATCTTAAAAAGCAAAATTTTGCATCATAAACAGCAGATTTTTTTATTATATATTTCGAAAATTGCTTTGTTTCTCGAAAAATAAGAATATTTCTTATTGATACCATCTTCCCTGTTACTTCATGGTATGCCCCTTAGTTAGAGAGTCTCACTTACTAACTTGGACAGATATCTTATTTCTAAGGATTGAATTCCTGTTTTATGATTCTGTCTGCCTGCTAAATTGAAAAGAGAAGCAAAAAAAAAAATGTTAATGAAAAATACAAGTATTAAACTGAACAGGGGTAATTTATTCCCATTAAATGGAAAATAAATTAAACTTTGGACAATAAAAAAACACAGAGGAAGTATTTTGTTTTCTGTTTTGAACTTCTAGGTTATGATTATAAACATCTTGTTATATTTATTTAATAGATATTAGAGTGTGCTTAATAAGATAGTTAAGGATAGATAGATATTTTATTTGTTTTAAGGGGGTTCCCCATACAAATATATTCCCCATATATAGATTTATCATCTAGCATGGCTATTGTACAATAAGATGGTTTTACAAATTTACATACATATAATTCAAATATCAACAAAATTTACAATATTTAACGTTTAGAGTGGTTTTCACAAAACATGAATAGCAATAAAAATTAAAAACATAAAATGATTACTGCATAATATTGGTTATATGAACCAGTTACTATGATAGAAACAATACAAAATAAAAATATTTATAAATATAAACAAAATATTACTCTTAAGATAAACTAAAACAAACGCTTAATAGAACATGGCTATGATCAACAATTTTGTGTATGCACTTTGTGAACTCCCATCATAAAATAGTAAACTTTATTTAATTTATCTATACAATCGATATTCAGTATGGAATCGACATTGCGGTTATCAGAAGATTCTGAGATGAAGTTTGGAAGGAATTTTTGTCTATAGTCATTGTATGCTGGGCAGTGAAGGAGAATGTGATGTAGACTATTGTAGATAAATTGGCTGCATGAAATACAGGTTTCTTGAGACTCAATCGAAAATGTTCTGTTTTTTGCATGGATTCTGATGTGTTCTGGGTTTACAACTCTTAATTGACTAACACATCTCAATTTCTTTATGTGGACTTTGAATGTAAGGTACGTTTCAGGGTCGGGAGAATTGTAACTGCATAGCATTCTGTATAAAGGGTAGTTAGTGGAGTTTAAGGTTCTTTGTATGTCGGCTGAGAAATAATAGTTGTGTGCTTTTTCAAGGATGTCTTCTTTGTATCGAAGAAGCCCGTTTGTGTGGTGAACAGAAAGCTCTTCTGCAAAGGCATTAAGTTCGGCTATTGCTCTAAATTGAGACACCCAATTGAAGTCTATGTCAGGTTTATCCTTATGTAATGTTTTAAGTCTATTAAAGCAAAGTTTTGGGAGTCGCTCTTCTGGCATAAACTCGAGCTTGGTCCATAGATTTATCATCTTTTTTATTACTTTGATTCTTAATGGTTCTCTTCCTGTTTCGAGGCGGACTATGTAGTTTGGGGGTATTTCTGGGCCAACTAAACAGTTGCTTTAAATATTTAAGTTGGACCGTTTCTATTTCCTCAAGATAATTGGGGCTCCATATTTCAGAAGCATAAATAACAATAACAACGCATGGAGACAAATAACAATTTTTTACTTTCCCAGGAGTCACTTTTGCCTCTTTTTAGTATGTCTATGACTCTCGCAGATGCCACTGATGACTTCTGAGTAAAATGCTCACATGCTTGTTTAAAAAGATAGTTAAGGATAATGTCACAGTTTTCGGCCATTATTTGTAATGTGACATCCGGAGTAATATGAATATAGATCTATGGAGACTTTGAGTAAGGGAAAATATTGCCTACTACGTACAATGTTTTTTATTATGATTATTTTGAAATATACCTGAGAGCCTCGATTTTTGATAACTTCTTGCCAGTAGGTTTGATGGGCGGTAATATCCTTCTCAACTTATCGAAGGCCTTGTTCATATCCCGCATTCTGGTTCTCTCTCGGTCGCATGCTGACTTTTTGTAATCTGTAATTGAAATTTATTTAGTTATTTGGCCTGGTAAAATATAGAACAAAAAAAAAAAATTTTTTTTTATAGGTTCTGTTCAGAACACATACAAGTCTACAATCAGTGGCTCACCAATTTTTTCGATACTACGTCGAAAAATCTGTTGCGGTGCACGCATTACACAAGTTTCACGTACCAAAGATTATTTAAAACAATTAATAACCATATGTTTTTCATAGCCGTCTAATTTATTTAGTTTGAAACTAGCTGTTTCCTTTTACGAATGTGTCACGAATTATTTTTAGTCTGACAAGAGTGCCTCTAATAAAGAAGAATGCTACATTTATTTATATTTCATTGTGGGTATTTTTATTTGTTTAAGTACCGATATATATATACAAATTTTAATTTTTATATAGCTGTAATCTATACAATTAAATAATAAATAATACCAACGATAGAAATTATGAACAGCATATATATATATATATATATATATATATATATATATATATATATATATATATATATACACACATATATTTCTATTGCTATATTTATATATGTAATACTTTCAGAGTCCATATTATATAAAGCTCATGTTCTAATCTTTCGGGTGAACTCGGGCGCACTAGTACTTCTTTAGTCTCTCTATTACAACAATTTTTCGTTACAATCTCTTATTTCTCCTTTAGTTAATTATCAAATTGTTTCATATTCTATATTTAACTATTTTTTATATCAGAGTTCAATGTGAAATGGTTAATTATTTCAAATAAAAAAAATTAAAACTACTTTAGAGAAAGCAATATTAAGAATTAGCCATTTAAGCCCTGTTAGGAACATAAATGAGAATAAAACCCACATTTTGTTAAATACTGCTTCATTTTACACTGATATAATGAGTTTAATCAACATCCTTAGAGCCGTTTTCAAGAAAATCGTAAAGATGTGTTCAATCAATGATATAAAGCGCTACTTCCGGTTAGCCTATTTCAACAAAAAAGTTGCTGTAACATGCCAGGCATATACCGTAACTATGCAATGAAACCTTAAATATGCAATCTCACTTTCGTATGTCTTTTCGTTTTTGAGCTTGAGTGTTAACAAACACATACAGACTATTTTGTGGAACTTGGTTATTTGGACATAGGAGACCTCCAAACGTTTATTTCTGTTGCCTAAAACTGCCATTCGAATATTTTCCTTCACTATATATTTCAAATATTGGTTTGTGAAAGTAAATAAAAATATTGGCCAAATATCCCAGCTTTCAATCCAATGGGCCCTGAGTGGGAGTCGATAAAAATATATTTTATATAATTTAAAACAAAATTTGTAAATTAATAAAATTTGTAAAAACTATTTATTTTATCCCAGTGATTTTTATGATATTATAAACCAATCTATTTATTTTTTGTGTACAATAATAAAAAGTATTGATTATTGTATTAAATAAGTTGTAGTGTATCATATATCACAAAAACCACAAGGCGTTTCCAGTAACGTAGGCCAAGTAAATTTATGTTATGAAAAACCAAGTTAGATTCGTTTTTAGTGTCTTTTTAAACTGTTAAATACGATTTTTTACAGAAATAAAAAAATTAATACTTGCTTTTTAGAGGATTTTTTTTTCCGGCCGATAACTAAAGCATTCATAACTTCCCAGGATTTTCCCGTTAGAGCAACCTTTGAATAGCTAAATTACTGCTCTTCTGAACCACATCAATAACTTTTAGAATTAATTCATTTTTAAACTAAAAATTAATAAAAACTTCTCAACAATTTTTATTTTATATCATTGGATATAATCTGTTTGCGGATATCGGTTTTGTACCACTTCATGTAGCATATAAAGCCCTAAACTCAATAATTGTTGTATGGATCGGTGGAGCCGTTCTAAAGTTATTAGAATTTTTTCTACGAAATTCTGAAGGGCAACAATTTTTCACTAAATGTACAAGTAATGCTCAAATAAATATGATAAAACAATTAAAGAATTACAATATGTGCAATAAGATTTCTACTTCTACTGGTGTAAAAAACAGATTTTTGATCGGTGTCTTTTAAAATTTTCTTGTGGTAGGTCTATCATCAAAATAATATCTAACTATTTAATCCTCGGCCCACTTCTGATATAGCTAAATTACTAAAGAATATAGTAAGAGTACATTCGCTCTTAAAAAGTTTATCTTTTTTTTCATGCTATCACCTTTACTCAGGTGATAGTATGATCACAGCAAAGAGTAAGCTATTCAAGAGCGTACGCAGCTTTTATATTGGAGGGAGCAAAACTGAATAAAAAAAAAATCTCAGATAGATAAATGATTTCGTACTTTATAATTCATTACTAAGTAGTTTATTGTTATTAAAATTCATAAATATTTTTATATGAAACACAATATATACATAATATAAAAAAAATTCTTGGATTTTTGGCAAACATTTTGTATAATATTTTGTTTAATTTTCTTTCAAATTATTTGGGGGAGGAAGGCAACGGCCCAGTCCTCCCCAGCTTACGCTCATGAAGCTATTCATCGACTTTTCTGTTTTTACAAAATAATATACTCAAATGCAATGCCAACGGGGTGGGCAAGTTTGCTAACGTGTGTGAACATCACCGCGCGTTGCCCGGCAACCCGATAAGCAAGATAAAGACAAGAAAATAATTACGAGTTCGCGTCCCGGTGCCCGAGGGTCTTTTAAATCTGGCATTTTTCCCCGCCCTCACCCCATGACCTGGGAAAACCCCCGTATAGCCTAAAAGACGAGGAAGGGGAGTACAAAAAAATATATATTAAAATCCAATTCTTCCTAAGCCAAAAAAAAAAAAAAAAAAATAGTCTAGCCTTGACAATATCTTCCTTACAGATCATTTAGTTTATGATCGAGAAATGAGGCAATTCTTTGCTGACTTGAAGAGTAGTAGAAGGTGGATAGTTATAAATTATTTTTATCTGGAAGGTGATACCAGAAAATTAAGAGATCACTGTCCCCATCTAAAACACATGAGTAAATGATAGTGGGAGAATTAGGCTACTTGGTACATAGACATTGTGTTGTCCTTGACTGCATTTCAGGAGTGTCTTCTAAGAGGTAAGTAGCGTGAAAAAAGGAAAAGTAAGGGAAAGTATACTAAGTGACGGAGTGATGCCATGCCTCCATATGCCAAAACTCCATAAAACCAAGCCAATATCCAAAAATAAAAATAAGTGAAAAGAAGATCATAGAAGAAAAAGGAAATGCCAGAACATATTTATAAAAATATCTCTGATGGCGCTATGAAGAACTATTGTCTTTTTTAAAACCCTATACTATATTCTGTTCTCGGTATTCTTTCTGCAAGTGTCCTCAGACCCAAAAGAAACCGAGGCGATCTTGGTCTTGGTCTTGCGTCAACAAACCTTGGTATTGGTCATTGTCTTGCACACTCAGTCTTGGTCTTGCGCAAGAGTCTAGCAAGAGTTTGCAGTTACCTACTAGCTTATTGCTATTTATTAAATATGTTACTTTAGGTCTTAGAAACAAGCTACAGAGTAGGTACATTTAGATGTTTTATTGACATAAACATAGTAAAGTCCAACCAAATTAATAAGATTAACTTGACAATACATTAACGCATTGTCAAGAAGGAAGGAGTGATAACTCCCCCCCTCCCCCCTCCCCCGATTGTATAAAATGGAAGAAGACGATCTATACATTGTTACCAATGTTAGTTTATAATTTGGTAAAATTCTAAACCACACAGCATCATTTCTCCAAAATGTAGGTAAATAAAAAAAAACCTGGGTATGGTGAGTGGGTTGAGAGGGAACGATGAAAAAGTCATGGGAGAGGATTAGGTCTATAAGGAGAGTATTTGTCAGGAGAGTTGGAGCATAAATTGGTGTTAAAGTCGCCGGTTATTATAACGTTATTGAATGAGGGAACATAGGTAAAAAGGGTGAATACTAAGGCAGGATCAAATCAGACTTGTGAGGGTGATATGCAATGACATAGAAGAGGGAAAAAGATTCTGAGGAAATTTATACAAATAAATACTCTACATGTGGAAAGTCGGGAATTCTTTCAACGTTTCTTATTGAAAATAAATTATAATTTATAGATCTTACCGTTCGGAAGCCACTCTGATATTTTGCATGTGCATCTTATTTCCTCTATGGATACTATTATTGTCACTTACAGAATAATAGAAAATATTTTCTAAACTATACTTAAGATGGTGAACCAGTAACTTTGACAATTTCATATTTGATTTTTTTCATAGCAGATCAAGCCGCAATAAATGAGTTAAATAGAGATTTTCAGTTATGACAACATTAAATTCAAATAAACATGATGCTATGTTATTTTAAACACATCTAAATAAGTCCAGACCCGTCTAATTATTTCATTGTACTTGTTATAATAAGCTGATCGTATTTATTACTATCCTTACCTTTTTCCGCATCTTGTGATCTCCCCTTCCATCTTACTTTGCTTTCGAAAGAGTTGTCAGTCGAAGGTTCTGCTGATAGGATCTCTTGTTTGAAATCAGTTTTGAGTATTATCGGAGTCTTCTCAGGCGATGTAATACTTTCAGCTATTACATCCTGTGGCGTTAGAGCTAAGATTAGACAAGTTTACAATTAGACAAATATTACTTAATTGAATTTACGAACCATTTAAAATTAATACTAATAGAGCTGATAAGAATTGGCATGTAAGATAGGGTTTACTTAGAAACGTTTATTGTTTGTTTTTTAGGCTTCCTGATCGGATCGGTGTTGGTTCGAAAAATAATTAGGAAACAACTTTAAAAGTAGTATATAAATCCAGTAACCTTGTCATGAAAAGGGGAGTCTAAGTTGCATCAAGGGGTGGAAGAAGATTTCGTTTTTTTTTTCTAGTATGGGATAGTTTCCCATACAAGAAAATAATGTACAGGACTATATAGATTGAAGAAAAAAGTATATTTCAACAAATTAACAAATAGATTTATTTTTTCTCAAAAGTCAACCGATCCTCCCCCCCCCCCCAAAAAAAGAACCTTTCTTAACAACAGTGTTGTCTCCAATTACAAATTCAAATATTCATCACAATTTATCTCAACGAATTCCCAAACATCCTCCCACCTTAAGGAGTTTTTAACTACTCAACAAACTTTTCTAAAAATGATTACTAACACATTGTGAATAATTTATGACATACAAAACCGTATTGGCATTCACACATTTCTGCTAGATCATTTTTGTAACAAATTATCTCTTTATCTCTTTAAATCTTTGTTCTTCTGCAAGTCCGGAATCTGCTCTTCTATAGAACTGTCTTCTTCAGAAATCGTGTAAGTTGGTTAAACAATTATAAAATATCCTTCCCGGTATCCCACCGCTACATTTTCTTTTTTAAATTTTGTAGCATTTTTTTTTATTTCTTCAAGAAATAATCAACAAATATTTCTCAGTTAATGTGCTGAGCACATTTTTTTATTTTGTTTCGAAAAGGGTAAACAAAATTTATAGCCTCACATATTTTACATAATACGAAAAAGTTGTGAATTACATGATAATACTCATGCAGGTTTAAATGACATTGGAGCCCAATTTATACACAAAATTAAAAAGCATTGAAAAAAAGCTCAGAAAAGATTAAAATTTTTTTTTTTATCATTTTGCTTTTGGAGAATATGTCATAGCTGAAGCAAATTTTCTAGACCTTCGGGTAACCGCAAAGCAAGTGAAGGTAAAATCAGAAAAATCGCCGATCATATACAATTGCACTTGCCCCCTTGTCCATGTTTTCCCCTTGTCCCCCTTAGTCTGAAACTTACTTTCGAAATGTGCCCCCTCCAAAATTCAAAATATGCCGCCCTCAAAATTTGTGATGGCGCAACTTGTGCCATGAAACCCTCTTTTGGGCACCCCTGTTTGGATATACTAGCGAGGGAGCTCAGAAGGGGCTGCTTATCAACATTCGCGCCATTTAAATTTTGAGTTAGTACATTTTTATGGGGTTGTGGGGGGAAGGCACATATCTACAGACTGTGTAGACAAGTAAAAATAAAAAATACGAAGGAAATTAAAGTTGAATTTAAACTGTAGGAAGCGATTGTGAAGGACCTCAGCCAGAGAGGTTTCTAATGATTTTCATCACAAGGTAAAGAAAATACATTAAATTAATTTAAATACGTCCTTAATATTTTCTTTTATTAGTGCATATTTTTAATCTATTTATTTAGTTTTAATTTACTAACATACTTTTATCTGGTTATATTTTTTGTTTTAATTATTTATTTATTTTTACATATAGACATAATTTTAACTTATTTGTATGCTTCTATATTGATATGTTGGTGTGATGATACAAAGATATGGACTCGGATCTATATAATTCTAAAAGAGTTGATGTAGGTCAGGGAGTACGGGTACTGAGATCAGAAGGCCCTACCTTCCAGGACTTCCTCCGGCGTAATAATCTAAATAATGTGGAATTCGACGAAGCAGTTGGCAATTTTTTAAAATTTATGAAAAATGCAAATAATAATTGCCTGGCCCAGTGAACCCTGCCGTTCAATTTTATAAGTTAAGGAAGAAAAATAAGACTTATAATGGCAGGTAGGGGTGCTGGGAAAGTGTCGAATCCACAGAGGGCTGACAAGGCAGATAGGAGTCGTCGGGAGGAGTAATACCAATACGAGGTAGCTCAATATAACTAATATAATAGGAGAAGAAAAATAGTTCAATATATAATGAACGCTGATGCTCCTAAACAATGCCCACAGAAGGTACTCGAGATTTATGGCCACTTCAGAAGTCTTTTTGAAAAGAAAAATCTCTGCAAACGTGGGGATTACAAAAATTACGCCTCGATGCCTAATTTGATATCCAGCGACGTCCAATTGGTAAAAAAGCAATTTGTCAACATCGCTGGACATATCCCCGGGCCGGATAGAGTTCTGATGCGCACGATAAAGTATTATGATATTTCTCATATAATTAAGATAATTGCAGAGATCATGATGAGGGTGGCTCATGTACCAGAGCCTCTGCGCCAAGGGGCACAATCGTGGTCTACAAGGGAAAGGATGATGCCAACAGCATATATTCATGGTGACCGATTACCATTTATTCGATTGTGTGTCGAATCATTGAAAAGATTCTGGACCACGAATTGAGGAAATAAATCACCTTCAGCAAAAATCAGAGAGGTTTCATCTGGGGCCTGCTGGGAACACATGTCATCGCAAGAATCATCTACGCGGTCATAAAGGATGACAGTTGTAAAAAGAATGATTGCGCGGTGGTGTTTCTAGATGTTGTCGGTGCTTTTGACAACGTTGGTCACCACCATATCATCAGTTCACTGGAGGCAAGAGGGGTCTCAACAGACTTGAAAGACTCGATTGCTGCTCTCCTGGGTACTAATGATTGGAGTAGTAACCCAATTGACGAGCTGGATCAAAGTGCGGCGAGGAGTACCCCAAGGCGGACTCTTGTCGCCTTCACTGTGCAACCTGGCTATAGACCATCTATACCGCGATCTGGGTGAGAAAGACTTTTCCAAGCATTATGGATACAAGCTTAACAGCGTCAAGTTCTTACAGGCTTCACGGATGACCTGTGCACAAATTAACTGTGCACAGAGGATTCTCACCAAAATTGTTCTGGTTATTAATTCGAAGAAAAGCGTGGGCCTAGTAATAGATAAAGGAAAGCTACAACAAACAAAGCTCTCCCTTGAGAACGGTGAAGTCATCCACATATCAAAGGCAGATGATACTGTAAAATATTTAGGATGCATGTTCTAGGGAGAGCTAGTGATAAATGAGGAGAAGTTGAAAAAATTTAACGACAACTTGTATAAACTGGTGAGCTCAGAAATTGTCTTGTATCGTTTTTACCGAAATATATATATTGCATAATTGTAATTGTTTGTATTGGTATATTATAGTATTAATATTGTATATGATGAGTGATATGGAAAAGAATTTGTGTATATATAAATATGTAATTAAGTATTATTAAGTGCTGTATTAAAAAAAATGATTAATGACTATGCTGTGTTTCGAGCAATCCTATATAGTAGGGCAGCACTGCTTTAAATAAAGTATTTCTCTCTATTGCTATTTATTTTTTGGTTGGAATTGGATTATTTGACATGTATGGCCGGACATGATTTTTTTTTTGTTATATATTTATATTAAAATAGTTTTAAAAAAACATTGGAAATATAATAGGTATATTTTCACTGTCATAAAATATATTTTATATTATTATTTTCATTTAAAAAAATATATAATAATGTAATCTAGTGCAAACACATTCCATTTGTAATATTAAGCAAAAATCATAGAAAATCCTGACGGTATGTTTTCTAGAAATAATCAGAATTAATGGATCAGAAAATGAAAGATAATATAAAATAATAATTTGATATAATAATCTCAATATAATATATCAAGCGAAAAAAAATCATACAAATAGGTATTCATGCAGATTAAGAACAGATTTTACCTTATTTTCTTGCAACTGTATTATCCGGGACACCTAGAATAAAAATTAGAGAATCAAGCATTAATATACTTTTTATGAATATATTATCTTTAATCTACAATGGAACTTGGATAAATTTACAATGAAGGGGTCAAGTATAAATATTTCAGTTTTAAAGTATTCGAGTAAAACTTAAAAAAAAAAAAAAATAATGATACAAAAACATGTATATGTAATTCCTTTTGTATTGATCTCATTCGACGACGTAAGTTTCTCATGAGTCTGCTGAAACCTCGAACTCGCGTAATTTGGAATCTCTCTCTCAATTTTAATTTTTAAAAATAGTTTATCTGTCGATGGGAACCATTTTTCTGTCCCGAAAAGCTGGTTTAAAAATTTAAGTTGATAAGTAATTCGTGAATGAAACTCTCTCCCCCCAAATCTATTGTTAACTAATAAAACATTCATACGTCAATCTTTCGAATCCATGCCTCATCTTGAGGATCTTTAACAGCGTTGAATTGCTATTTACATATTGTTCCTTGTTGGTCATTCTGTGTATATTGTATCAGCATTGTCTTATTCATTGGAGTTATTTTTTAAACCCAATTATTAGACAAAGCGTACCAGTTGGTTAATCCTTCTTTAGTACAAAAATTTTCAAAAATCTCAGTGTTACTCTATTCTGAAAATAAGCATGCACATTTTGCACGTATGAGGAATACAAGGAAAGATAATAAATAGTAAATATAAGGAAAGATAGTAAATTCTGGCTTATTGGATAAAGAATTAAATTAATTTTGCAGCTGAGAAATATCGAGAATAACCGACGATATGTTTCTACTATTTATTTATTTATACTACGATATATGTTTAGTATCCATTGTCAAAGAATAGTAAAAATTAAAAACAAACGTATTCAAAGGTCCGATACCCACGTGTCCTAACACATTCCTCCCATCTACTTCTCTGTTTACACCTCGGTCGTTTACCCGGTTGTTCAACCCCGATCTCCTGATAAATAATTCGATCATTAAGCAGCCTATAACTTTACTAGTCTATTTCAATAATCAGATTAATTAAATTTACCAGATGAATAACTCACACTTTACCATTATCTTGTTATATAAATTCTCCAGTTGGTTAATCATAAGGATAAGATAGTAATGTAAATTGTTGATTCCATATATTTAAACTTCTATACTAAAATTATATTAAAATAACTTTTAAATTGAAACGAATTGTCCTTTAAAGATACGGAATTACATAGAATAATCAAAACTTTTTTTAAATCACTACATATTCACAAAAAAGTCACATATCAATTAAACAGATAAAAATTGAATTCTTTACTTAATCAATTATAAATAATTAATAGATAATATTTAATTTGTCGATGTAGTTTTATTTTTGAAAGGGGATAGGAATAAGACACATTTGAAGGAAAACTTAGAGAAGAATCCAGGAATTGAGAATAGGAAGGAAATCCAGAAAGAGGTAGTACGAATAATAAAGGAAGGAGTCTATGAGAGGGAATGTACAAATCAATAGGCTGTGATCTGATATTCAAAGAGTGAATAAAAGAAGGCAGGATGAGAAGACCCAGGATGTAGGGAGGTTTTTCCCTAAAGAGTTGGATGAGGAGGACGCCACAGAAGTATTCCTTACGGAAAACAGGATTAAGTCTCTTGAACTCAGCATACCACGATAAATGTAAGGGAGCTATCAAACCCGGTATACAAATCTAATGAAAAGATTCATAAATTTCTTAATTCCCATCTCTAGGCCACCAGCTAACATACACCAGACAGGCACACTAGAAGGGCAGGATCTATGGGGGGGGGGTAGAGGGGCTTTCGGGCTGAAGCCTCCCAAAATGGTAAAAAAGCTTGTTTTATGAAAAAAATGTTTAATAATTATCTCTAATGTATTATTGTTCGCGAAAATTACATTTAATAGTAGTTAAAGGATCACTTAACTATTTCGTGTAGGTAGTTAGTTCCTTTCTTTTTCTTCTTAATTAATTATCGTTATATATTTTTAAAAAAATCTTTCGGGCTGAAGCCCCCCAAAACTAAATCCTGGATCCACTACTGATGTGAGGGGAGAGAAATAAAAAAAGGAGTCCTCAGCCTAAATTTCAAATTTCAAATTCTGTCTGCTCGACTTTTTTTCTCGGAACAATTTGTTATTTATTTTTAATGCAGAGCATGTTAAAGATAACATTAAATAACTACTTTAATAACTATTAAATAAGTAATTATTTTAGGCAAATTTTCTCCTAGAATAAAGTTATTTTTACATTCCTCGGGTTTATTCCTGATTGTAAGATTCCGTTAATTTCATGCTTAAGTTTTTTAAAAGTGTCTCACATTATGTTTTTACCCATCAACATACATGCTCAACATTTTTAGTTACCCCAGCACTTACTATACAAACACTTTCGGCATTCAATTAACTACAAAAGGTTCATTTATACGACAATAATAATCTATTTGAACTGAGGGAGTTGAGCTTTGAAACATGCGCATATATATCTTATACTCATTTTTAAAAATTATCAAAGTTTATTTTATGTATAACATTTTAATTTTTATACATTTTGAGTTTTATCGTTCATAATTCTTACCTGGAGTTCATACGTAAAATATTTTATAAAAATATTACTTGTAATTTTGGAAGTACGAATAAATCACTTATTCGAATTACGCGAATTCGAGTACCGTTAACGCTCAATTGTTTTGATAATAGTGTAAACATTTTGTTGATTTTTACCATATGATTTCCATTTCAAATGGGTTAAACGTCATTGAGATTTTTTTTTTTAACTGTTTATGATTTATGCCATCGTATAGTTCCTTAATCCTAAAATTTTATGAACAAAAAATTTCAATTTCATTATAGAAATATATATATATATATATATTTTATTATAGTATATATATATATATATATATATATATATATATTATATATATATATATATATATATATATATATATATATATATAAATATATATGTGTGTGTTAAAAGGAATTTCCAATTACATAACAAATCTTTCTATTTTGAATATAAGTTTTTACAATTATATTCCATACATGTGTTTTTACACGATAATACAAATTAATTCTTTCCAAATGACTGAAACTGAGATCAACCATTGAAAACATATACATATAATCCTATTTGATTTACAAACTTATCTAACTAAATCGTTTGAATTTCAGTAAATAAAATTATGTTTGTATAAGTTAACTTGATTCACTTGATCATATACTGACCCTTATATTTAATTTCGTAAATAATTTAAATATTATTTACCTTTTTCCAGATTAGTAGAATAGATTGAAACTGTTTCCGCTTTTTTTTTTTTTTTTTTCTGATCTACATTATTCACCCTTTTCAGTTTTCAGCATTTTCTATGCTTTATATGGTTGTATTTTAAATAAATAGTAATTCACTGTCACTCAGGGCCACTGTTGGCCAAATTTTATTATGTATCAACTATTCAAGTTTTGTTTTACTTATTTTATGATACATAAATCCATACGATTGCATAATTAGATACGATTTAAACAAGGTGAAATGAACAATTAAACTGCAATATTGAAGACATTTGAGCTTGAAATCGTAGATCTCTTTTCAAATAACGAAGCGTTTTTAATTTTTTCAGTTTTCTATTTCCTCTTCCGGTCCCTTTTGAACGCCAGACTCACTTTATATTTCAGCTTGTTGCTAACCCTCTGTTTGAACGGTTATATTTAATATTATATAAAATGTAATGATTAAGTGTATGTTCATGTGTATCATTATGTTCAAAATTTAAATCTTGGATCGACCCTTGGAATACAAAACATGAAACAGTTTATACAACTCATCAAAAAGTCTTTTATGCCACTATTGTTCAAAGCAAGTTTTTTTTTTTTATGCTGATACCTATTAAAGGTAACATTAAATAACTATTACTCTCAGGTAACTGACAAGTGCGCTTTATGTTTATGCACTTTAATTAAGCTATTTACCTATTTATCTAGACATATTTACATTAGGAATGAATATTGTGATTATTTTTAGACACATTTCCTCACAGAATAAATTTGTTTTTTGCATTCTTCATTCATTTCAAAATGAACTGAATTTTAAACGCATTCTATTTATTTCGTTAGTATTCTCAATGAATTTTTAAATAGAGATTCGTTCTTCATTGTATGTTTCTATTAAATTCATGCTCTAGTTTTTAAAATATTTCTCACATTATGTTTTTACCCATTAACATGCATATTTTTAATAAGTTTAAATACTTATTGTTTTTTATTTGCTATTTTATGTTTTATTTGCTCATTAATATGCGTTATTTATTTTTTAGTTCGTATTATTTTGATACTTTTTTATTTTAAAGAAATATTTAAGATGCCTCAATATTATATTTTTAACCATTGATATATCATGTCATAAGTTTATTTGCCATTTCTTGTTTGTAAAATTACGTTTCAATTGTTTACATACTTTAGTATATGAAACAAAATTAGAAATAATTTTCGTTTGATTTCCAATCTCTCTGCAAATTTAGTTCTCAGTTAAGTACTTTTTCTTGGAACTTTTGTGCCCATTATTTTAATATTTTAGCTGTCCTCTTTTGTATCTGGGATGTTTTCTTTTATATTGCATATTTTATGTTTTTATTTATTATATATTATGTTTTGCTGTAAACCTTATGTTTTATACTGATTTTGAATTCACTGGCTAAAGAATTTAACATGTTTTGTGATCAAAGAAAACCCCACTCCGCAGGACTACATGACGATTTTTTAAATTTATAAATAAATAATAAAATATGATTTTTTTTTTGTTTTTAAATATTTTTCAAAATAAAACAATAGAAGAAAAATAAGTGGCAAAGTACTACACTTAAAACCTAACTGAAAGTGTGGCCTTGAAATTTGATCTACGATAAGTTTAGATTCGAAAGGCAACGCTAGCGGGAAATATGTATATGTAAATGTTATGAGCATGCGCCCTATGAAATAGTACATACGCTGTAAGGAATGTTATCCATATGAGATCTGAGTGAGGACTACTGAGTGTTCTATTGATGCTCTACTGAATGTGATTCATTACTGATGGATTCTTGAATTATCCTCTGACACACCTGTGTTTTATTAAGGAATAACCAGCTCGAATTTGCATTCTTAATGTAATATCAATGAGAGACAGACCCCATTACAAGCCACAACATCATTCACATGTTCATGCTTTTTTGAAGAATTGAGTTATTGTATTAACCTTTTTTAATTCGTATTTATTAAAAAGATAATATATTAAAAACTAAAGCTTCATAACGCCATCAACTATGAAGACGAATTTAAAAATGTTACAATCCGATTAACTGTTGTTAAATAATCCATTACGAATAATTCAGATAGACCCAGTAATCGTCTTTCAATTACACCGTATCATTTACCAGTCAAGTGTAAATGTTTTGTTTTTTAAAATTTATTTATTGAATAATATATTATTCTGTCACTTGGACATTGGTTATAGGGTGGTAAGATCACATTCACACAATATGTACAAATATATATATATATATATATATATAATAAGAACTCGTGTGAGCTTGGGCGCGTTCAAATTCCTTTGGTTCCTCCATTACAACTATTCTCCGCTACAATCTCTTATTCTATTCCTCCTTTAGTTAATTATCAAATTCATTCATATCTTATATTTAGCTATTTTTTATATCAGAGATCAATGTGAAATGATTAATTGTTTCAAATAAAAAAATAAAGGCACTTTATGGGAATTTGATATTGAAAATTAGCCATTTAAGCCCTGTTAGAGTACATAAATGAGAATAAAACCTACATTATATTAAAAATTGCTTAATTTTGAACTGATATAATGAATTTAATCAAAGTAGTCAGAGCCGATTTCGAGAAAATCGCAAAAATTTGTTGAATCGAAAATATAAAATACCACTTCCGGTTAACCGATTTTGACGAAAAAACGGCTGTAACATCCCAGGCATATAAAAACCTTAAACATGCAATTTCCCTTTCTTACGACTTTTCGTTTTTGAGCTGTTAACTCACAGGCACAGGCACAGGCCCAGACACAGACACAGAGACGTTGAAAACTCAGGTTCAAATTCTCTCCCTTACTATATATTTCATATATACACTGACAGGCAAAAAATTCCACCCACTTGATTATTTCATGTTTTCATCTAAAAATATTTCTGCTTTGGATTGGTCTATTGTTTTTGATGAATAAATAGGTAATGTTTTTGTTTGTTTTCAATTAGGAATGTTAATATAGAGGACAATAACCCTTAATCCTTAATTCGATGAAATGAATGATTCTAGATGCCAATGTTTACCTTCTATGGAATCAAAATGTTTATTCAGTATCATTAGCTCAGTGCCGTTTCTTGTAGCACATTTCTTAGTCTCCGGCTTTTAATTTTTTCAATATTAAGTTTAAAAATGCCTCTTAGTGCTGAGGATGTTGCGCGTGGTGTGGCACCTATTGATGATGGACGTTCCATTAGATATGCAGCTAATGCCATCGGAGTTCCATATGAAACTTCACGAGACGCCGTCAGGCGTTTTCGGGAAACCGGTTCTTACAATAGAAGGCCCAGTTTTGGACGGCCTAGGGTAACAGAACCACGGGATGACCGGTTTTTGACTTAGAGAATTTTACGAAACCGGCACCTTACCGTTGTTCAAGCGATTCATCAGCTCGAAGAAGTTCGAGGTGTGCAAATTTCTGAACGTACCGCTCGAAGAAGATTAAATGAGTATGGATTAATGGCTTTTCGTCCAGTAAGAGGACCAGAGTTAACCAGAACTCACAGAGTAACACGGCTGGCTTTTGCTCGAGAACACAGCCATTGGACTATGGACGAATGGAGTGCTGTACTTTTTACAGATGAGTCAAGATTCGCTCTTCGATCTCCAGACGGGCGTGAAAGGGTGTGGAGAAGAAGAAACGAAAGATATGCAGCCTGTAATTTTTCCCAGAGCCAACCTTTCCAACGTGATTCCTTAATGGTGTGGGCTGGGATTTCAATGGAGCGCCGCACAGAATTGGTTGTTGTTCGTGGAGGGTCTTTGACGGCCACTTGCTATGTAGATGAGATTTTGGAACTTCATATGTTGCCTATCCTCAACGAAATCGGCGATCGTCCTATTCTAATGCACGATAATGCACGCTGACATGTCGCCCGCATAGTGCAGACGTTCCTTCAACAAAACAATATTGAGGTTTTAGCCTGGCCAGCACGTTCTCCAGATTTGAACATTTATGGGATAACCTCGGAAGACGAATAAGAGCGCGTGCAACACTTCCTGATACACTGCAGGAACTTGAAAGGGCTCTTTGGGAGGAATGGGCTATCCTCCAGCAAAGGAACATTTCCCGACTGGTGGAAAGTATGCCGAGGCGTCTTCAAGAAGTATTAAAGGCAAGAGGAGGAAACAAGCGCTACTAAACGATGATGTAATTAATTTCTTTTAGAATAATAATGGTTCGTTGTTCAATATTTTTGTTTCTAATCTTTCTTACCCAATCGCATTTTGATTATTAAAGGTAAAAAAGATTATAAAATTCCATAAATACTAAGTATTATCAACAAATACCATATATTATATACAAATACAACTTTACAGAAGTATTTTTAGATGAAAACATGGAAAAATCAAGTGGGTGGAATTTGAGAATGGACATTATATGTATATATATATATAAGTTAAGCGTCTCCGGGCTTTAAAAATAAAAAAAAAAGAAGGAAAGAGGAACGAGAAACAATAGTCACGGCTTCTGAATAAACACTGCTTTATTCGTCCAATAATCTGCCTTATATACAATCGCTATGTTTATTTACATTACAAGATGGTATTAAGGCTGATATCGCCAGTCTCCGGTCTTTATCTCCCCCCCACCAGTTTACGAATAGGATTTTCGGAAACTTATAAATTCCCAGATCGGAGCCACCGGTATCAGCCTTAACCCTTTACAATTATTTGTACCAGTATAAACTTAAAGTACACCAAACCTCACTTCCACTCCGCTGGAACGAGAAATAAATAAAAAGAAATAAACCACAGAAAGTAAACACACAACGTCTTATTAACAATGGAACAGAACTCTTAATCCTATAAAAATTACAATCACCTCTATTATGCTGCCATATCTTTATTTACAAGAACAACAAAAATAATTAAAAAAAAATGACATCATCAACAGTAATAATAATAAAAAAAACATATTTTTTTATAATACGCGATAAGGGTACTACGAATCAATTGGTTTCTGTACCGGTTCTAACATTGGGAGCTTCAATTGTTCAATATGAACAGTTCTCCTCTTCTTAGGTTCGTTAATGCTTTCAATGGTTACCAGATTATGCTCCCTAATAGCAACCACTCTGAATGGGCCCTCGTACCGTAACAATTGTTTCCCTCTGTTGGTTCCAATTCTACGATACACTATTGTTCCGATTTTTAATTCTCCCATTCGGTCACGTACCTGCACATTCTGCCGCGCTACCCGCTTCTCCTTTTCCCGCTGAATTCTCCCCGCTACCTTCCCCCACGTCTTTCCTACCTCTACCCTAGTATTCTGGATTTGCTCTACGAGATGTTCATTGGTCGTTGTTTCCCCCCAATCTCTCCTTGGCCTGCGCATCCCGAATAGTATTTCCACAGGTGAAAACCCCGTTACGGAGTGGATCGAATGGTTGTAAGCTGTTACGGCTTTCTTCATCGCAACATCCGGCTCCAACCCTTTCTCTCCCTGATATACACGGATGTGGTCACTCAACGTGCTGTGCAAGCGTTCGATTCCTCCTCTACTCTTAGGGTGTCCCGGTGTGTTATAATGCCACACAACCTCTAACCTTTTCACCTCCTCCCTAATCGCGGTATTGTCGAATTCTCTACCACCGTCTGATGTGATCCTCTCGGGAACTCCGTAAAACTGTATCCAGATTTGTAGGGCTTCCGCAACTGCATTGGCAGACTTGTCCATGACCTGATGTGCCATAGCTACTTTACTAAAGGTGTCGATGATCGTGACCCACTTGAACCCTTTCCAGGTGAATGTATCGATCTGGAGGTCTTGTAGCGGCATATTCCCTGTAGGTGTCTCTTCCTGAACTCCTCTGGGGGGGTGTCGATCATACTTTGTGCGCATACATACCTCGCATTTCCCGATGATTCCTTGGATAGATTTTTTCATTCCCCACCAGAAATACTTTCGCCGTAATGCCTGCAACGTCTCGTTGACGCCTCGGTGGTTGGTCTTCCCCTGGTGGTATGCCAATGTAATTGCTTGTTGCTGCTCCTCATCCTGTACGGTTTCCACTGCATACTTGCACCGGATGATCGTTCTATCCATGCCTATCCGCTCGGATCTCCACATCCGCTTTATTTTCTCCCATACCGTGTTGTTCCCAACATAGAGATGGTGTGTCTTTCCCGGTTCCGTGGCGTCCTTCAGTGCCGTACGGATTTGCTCCTCGCTCACCCCGGGTTGCGACCAAATGACGCGAATCCTACTTTTCCCGTATCTTCGGTAATCTATTTTCATGATCCCTGTTGTCCTGGTTTTCCAGATTACCTGTCTATGCTTGTCGTTGATGATTTCGTCTATTTCCTCCATCGCCTCTGGTCTTTCCTCCGCTGAGCTATCTTCTTCCGGGGACCCCTCCCTGTCCTCTATACTGACGGTATCATCTGCCCCTTCACCCTCAGGAGTCCATTCCCTCAAGAATTGGCGCACGTCCCGCGATGGACCTCCTCCGTCCTCTTCTACCGCGTTGATCATGATGGCCCTAGAGAGCCAGTCTGCCACCACGTTTTCCTTTCCCGGCTTATACACCACCTCCATGTTGTACTGACTAAGGAATTCTTTCCATCTCGTGACCCTCGCAGAGGTTTCCTTAAGTTTTCCTACCCACTGAAGGGGTTTGTGATCGGTGTGGACTCGAAACTTCCTCCCAAATATATATGGCCTGAAATGGTCGATGGCCCACACTATCGCGAGTAGCTCCCTCTCTAACGCGCTGTACCGTGATTCCGCGCTCGTAAGCCGTCGGCTCGCGTAT